GGCACAGCTTCTATTGCTGGACACTAGTACCATGTGGTGTGTTGTCAATCTTAACTAAATACCACATCCCAGCAGGCTCAACTAAATCTGTGTATTAGGAAAAATAACAAAGGAATTAAAAGATTTCATCCTCACATCAGTGTCTTAGGCGATTTCCAGAAGAAGGACTTCGTTGTGAAAAGAAGGTCAACTCATTAAGAAACGGAAAACAAATCCCGTTTCTTTTCCTTTTATGAATTCTCCACATAAAGCATTAATTTCTATTTTTATTTTTTTAAGATGTATGTTCTTCCCTGCATGAGACCTTTTGTCTAGAGGTACCCATTCTGATCAAAATTCTGTTGCATTTGGAATAGTGAAACTCATCTCTTGATTGCTGTAATCCAAAATTCTTTTAAAAATATGGTCACAAATGAATTAATGAATTGGAAGAAATAACACAAAAAGCAAGGTGTTACTGGTATCATTTAAGACCTTGATGCTAAGACAATGGAATATATACATTCAAATTATGTTCTACTTCTTTTTAGATATTATACAGCTACATTATCCTTAAAACAGTGTAAAACATGAAATTTAAATCAAAATATGAACAAACAATTCAGAAGGTAAACAAAAATAGTTGATAATATGGCTTAATATTTAATTTTGCTAGTTATCAGAAAATGTATATTAAGCAATTAATATTTTATTCATTAGCAAATATCTCAAAAATATATTCAAATCTGGTGAGGTGAGAAAAAATGGTAAACTTCTGTAATGCTGATGCCTGCATCAATTTGAATTCTCCTTTTGAAAATAAATTTAGGGCTGGATACGGTGGCTCATGCCTATAATTCTAACATGTTGGGAGGCTGAGATGAGAGGATCACTTGACACCAGGAGTTCAAGACCATTTTGGGAAACAGAAAGACCATGTCTCTGTAAAAAATGAAAATAATTAGCTGGTCATGATGTCACACATCCGTAGTACCAGCTACTAAGGAGGCTGGGGCGTGAAGACCACATGACCCAAGAATTCCAGGCTACGGTGAGCTACAATGGCATGACTGCAATCAAGCCTGGGAAGATCTAGTCTTAAATAAATAAAAATTAAAATAAATAAAATTTTAAAAAGACACCTGATAATGCATCATTTTCACTCAGTACATTTTATTGCAAAGATGATGGTCACAATGTTTTTTTCATAGCTTCATTTATTTTATTAAAAAATGTATTCAACAAACACATGTAGAGTCTCAGAGTTATTTAGCCATTGGGGAAGTAAATAATAAAGAGTCTCACATCCTTTGCTTTCATGGAACCTATAGTCTAGATATACATGATATTTATGAATAGTTACATACATGAGTAATTGGGGCATTGATATACATGAATAGTTGCTTAGTAGTGCAAAGTATTCTGGAAGGGCAAAAAAGAGGAATGTAACAAATCTAGGATTTGGGGGACTCTGGTAGCCTTAAATAAGATGTGTCAACTAAGCTGAACCTAAAGGAGAAGAACTGGCTAGAGCAAAAGAGGGGGGAATGTTTATATCATAGGGCAGAAGGAAAAGCAGGTGTGTGAGCTCCAGGTGAAGAGCGCTTAGATCCCTAAAATAATTGAGTGGCAGTCCCTGTAGCTTCCAGGTGGTGAAGTGATTAGGCATTGAAGCTAAGGATAAATGCAGGGACCACATCATGAAAGGCCTGGTCAATCATGATAAAAAAAATATATATATAAGAAATTTTATTGACAAGGCTGAATAATTTTATCCAAAGGATTAAGAACTTCAAGACAGAATGACATGTTTGAATTTGCATTTTGGAAAGGGCATTCTGCTTTGCAGTGTGTAGGAAGGATTGAAGGAGGGTGGGCAGGAACAAAGGCAGAAGTGAAAAAGGATCCATTCTAGTCATGTAGGGGAATAATGGTAGTGACTCAGACAAGCATAGGAAGAATGGAGATGAAGAGCAATTGCTGAATTTGAAGGATATTTGGGGCGGGGGGAATCAATAGCATTTAGTGATCAATTGGATATAAGGGCTGAATGGGAGAAAAGTAGTTGATATGCAGGTTCTAGCTTTAGGGAACCCAGTGATGCTTCAGAGAGAATTATACTGAAGATATAAATTTGGGTATGATATAGATATGTGGAGAATTATAGTATCAATATAATGCTAAAGTTTGGATATAACTAAATGTTAAATAGCAAAGAAGTAGATCAACACTGACACATCTGCAATCATTTGAATTAGTTTTACAAGGAGATAATATGAAAAAGTGAGATAATATATTACAAATATATGTGTGTATTCTATGTATACACAACCTAAATATTAAGTATACATCTGAAACAGATACTATAATAAATCAAATTATTAATAGTATTGGTCTTTCGGAATTTGGTGACAATGGGTAGAAATATTTTTATCATGTATATGTATTTTTCTATAATTTAATGTCATAGAAACTGTAATTTTCTCTATAAAATATACAATGCTAAAACCTATATTTTCAGTTTCACTATATTGAACTATAGTATGTTTACAAGTTACAATATCACCATAAAAGATACTTTCCAAGATTTTGGAAGGCAAAATTTCTCAACAGGTAATAACGCAAAATTCAGCTGTCAGTGTAATATTTTGTGTTCCATCAAAACAAAATCAGCATAATGAAACATTGCTGTTCTGGATGTCATTGCAAAGAGGTTTTTATCCTGAGCCTGTGACTTAGAACTTGTTGGCAAGTTGTTTAGCCTCTGAGAAGGGGCCTGAATGACTGCTGAGACAGGAGAGTTGGTTTGGATTTTCTCTCAGGTGATCTTCCACCCTATTTTGCCTGTGTCCACATCACACACACAAAATTTCCATCAAACAATGTTTCAGTCAAATCAGCCTATATTTACATTTTGAGATATGCAGCTAAATGGCCACAGTCTGAGATTATATGTGACCTGACATCTAATAGGAGTGTATTTCTTTCAGAGAGAATTTGTTTGTTCCTTACATTTTTGTTTCCCCTCTTTTATTTCTTCTTTTTGTCATAAAAAGATTGAAAATCCTCGCTGTATTAGTGTGCAGAACATAAAACATAAAGCTCTTCCTGAAAGGTAATTTTCCAAGAATGAAAAATATGAGAATGGTATTTGATTGTTTGGTTTTCTGTCATTCAATGATGCAGTAATGCAACCATTTTTCCCTAACTGTGAATGGCCGCACTCTTGAAAACTGCCAGTTACAAATGAAAAGCGATAACACTTTGAAAGCAAAACCTTTCCTAAATCCCACTAGGTTTCCAGATGAATTTGAAAATTAGTTAGTGGTACATATTCGTACACAAATATATCCATTGTTGGGGAAGAAATTAAATAATTTATAAACTCCATCTCCATATTCTCAGCAAAATATTCTTTTTTACATCTTAAAATGAATAATTGTTATAAATCTTGTCCTACTGTTTTTCATTTTTTCCTGAGGACATTTATAATTTGTTTTTTCCTGATAACGTGGATTTTAATACACTAAAGTTAGATACCATGAAGTGAAACCTAGAATTGCCATAGTTTATGAAGCCTTTTATATTATTTCACTAAAACAGGTGTGTGTGTGTGTGTGTGTGTGTGTGTGTGTGTGTTTCCTGGTTATATGTTGAAACCTAAAAATTCTAGAAACCTAAAAATAGAGAAAAAGCAAAAAACTTAATCCGATTACCAACATTTGCACAACCCAGAGAAAAACACCTGGATTAAATTTGACATCTTACTTCAAAGTCTATTTGGATAAACTGTTATGGGAAAAAGTGACTCAGGTTAAATCACTGTATGCTTCCATTAAGGGACAAAACTCTACCTGTCATCATAACTAGTATAGACTCTCTGGCTTAGACCTAATTTGAGAGGCCAGTTTTGGAGATTACTTAAGTGAAAGCTGAAATGATGGTTTCAAATTAAATTAACAGTCAGAGAAAAACAAAACTTTTCCTTGTGGCCCTCTTGGGAAATTAGTCACCTGTGTTAGTGTGGCTGAAAGAGTAACTGTCCTGTGTATTACGACCAGCATGGGTTCTCCCACGTTCAAAGTATGCACAGCTACACTGGTCTTAGGGCCCATGCTGTAAACCAAGACAGCTTTCTTTCTGTAATCTGATGGTTGCTCTGTGTCTGCATCTCTGAAAGTTCCTAGTTCAAGGCATGCAGAAAAGAGAGATGTTAGAATTCCTAAAAGAAAAATTTTAAGCAAATTAAATTTGAGTTTAATTGAGCAAAGAACTGTTTGTGAATCAAGCAGTCCTTGAACCAAAATAGGTTTAGAGAGGCTCCAGGCTGCCACATGGTCAAAGAAGATTTATGGACAGAAAAGGAAAGTGATGTTTAGAAAACGGAAGTGAAGTTCAGAAACAGCCAGATCAGTTACAGCTCAGTGTTTATCTTATTTGAACACGATGTGAACCGTTGGCTTTAGGCATAATTTAAAATATGTGAGGAGGCAGCTTTAGTCTAAACTTAATTTAACAGACCCACATAAGACCAATGGTTTAATAAGATCTCAAACTCTTTAAAATGTGCATTCTAATGAAGATGATATTTAGCTCTACCTAACTTTTCAAATTCCTTTTCGTGCACTCAGAGCATGTAATATTTCAGCCATCCCACACTTCCTACAGTTTCTCTCTTACCTTTTTATCTCGGCACGTGGCATGCCCGCTGTTGAACACCTCCAACTTGCCCAGTTGGCCATGACATATATCCAGACTGTGTTGAGGTCTAATCTTCCCTGTGATGCCTGCCATAAACTCCCCCAGGGACAGATAGTCTCTCTCCTCTGTACCTCATGGCACTTGGCATATATTTCCAATTTACTGTCATGCTAGTCATGGGTTTGTTATTATTTATCTCTAATTTTAGCCTGTGAGCTCCTGGCAGAAAGTAACTGTCTTACTCATCTTTGAATCCCTAGTACCTTGAATATTCTCTAATCTTAGTAGGCACACACACATGTCTGTTTAAAAAAAAAATGAGCTTTGCACAGTGACAGTGTCATAGCCAGTGAATTTCATCTGAGGTGTGGTTATTGCTAATAGAAAACTTTTCCCAATACCCTGCCATGACGACTTGGATTATAGTCTGAATTGGCAATTTTTGACAGTCTCCATGGAGCCTGAATAAGGAAAAAAGAATTCAAAGTACAAAAAATATAAAATAATAAACATTAAACGTATTAAACTGTAATAAATTGGAGAATAATTACTGTGCTTTTTTAGGGTCTACTGAAATATGAAGTTCCTTGTTTAAAGAACTAAGAATGGCTCTTTGATTTCTTTGTGTCTTAAGCACTGTTTCCCATCTGTCACTCTGCACAATTTATGATCAGCTCAATGAAATAATATCTAAGTATGGTAATCTATAAGATCAGCACAGGTGAGGGGAACTATGCAAATGCATTGATATAAAACATTTCCATTTTTATTACAGGTTAGGAAGAAAGCATAAGAGTTTTCAAGTTAAAAAGAAACAAAAACTTTTATTGGGGCCTAGGGAAAGAGTCTGTGTTTCATAAATTGCATTAAATATTTGGTATGTAAAATTCCGGCTGCTGTTCTGCATTAAATGGGTGAAATGCATCCCCTATCTAATTAAGTAACCATATGGAGACAAGTCACATTTACATAAACAAAAGCAGAGAACCTGGCTCTATTGTATTCTCTTCTAGATTATATAACTTGGTTTTCGTCCTATGGCTTTCTGCTCTGACTTGCACATTGCCATGGACCAATACACTCACGGAAAATGAATGGAAATTAAAGAGCTGATTCTAAAGAGCCTTACTCTATTTACATATTGCAGTGAGAGGGACTCTGGAATATTATGAAATCTCTTATGTTTACTAACTGCTTGCCTGTTAAAGCCAGTAGTTTTGGGATCTGGCCAACAGGAAACCCATTGTGTATTAGCCTGCTTTGCAAGATAGCCATGTGCCTGGTGTATGGTGTAACCATTTCCCTGCATGTTTATTGAATAAATGCTTCACAGCATGTGTTCAGAATTTTTGACCTAATAGAATTTTACTAATGTAGCTACAGGGAGCAAATGATAAAGAAGTATTATAAGCAAAGGTCCATGTCACTAAGGCTCTAAGATGAAAACGATAATAGCAATCAGAAAATCAAAACATAAATGTTAGGATAATACGTTTGAGAATGGAAATAATAGGGATGATAATTGTAATTCTTTCCTTTTTATACTATTCTTTGTCCACACAGGGATCTTGCTGAAGGTTGTGGTCATCGTGACACATTATATGTATGTAACATTTAATCACTTACTCTATTTTTACATATATTTTAACATCACAAAACACCAACAGATTTTAATCATCCGTTTTTGTGGATGAGAAAAATGGAACCTCAGAGTTAAGTTACTCACCCAAGGTCACAGAGTTAATGCAGACCTTGTCAGGTTATTTGATTCTCATGTAAAGTTCTTTAGTTTGAGCAGATTGAGTCTTTGCTTTTGGGTATATTCCCTGCTTACAATTTGAAACAAATACCAGTGTAGTGAAAAGACAATCATATTTTGGAGATCAAAGAGGGAAAAATAGTGAAATGTATTTCAAAGTAATATCATCTCAAGAAAAAAGTATACAAATAATTTAGAACGTCTCAAAACCTCTTGATACTCACCTTCACTTAAACAATAATCCTATGGATCAGGATTTTATGAATCCCAATTCTGGATGACTGTGGTCCCCAGTGTGCCTGATTGCATTACAAATACAACCCATCAGATGATCAAATATTGACAGTTTACTGTGGTTAACCCTGATAGAATGACAGTGCCTTTGGCCCAGTTGTTTTAATTGCTGATGTTCACTGCCTCCTTATAAATTAATTTGATTTTTAGTTGTTAAATATCCCTGCTTTAAAATAAACATTTTTTTCTCAATGAAACACAGAAAAATTCTTACTTTATTCTCAAACAATTTTTCTTTGCCTTGCTTATATCTAACTTTGGTGAGGATGTCTGGTCAGTTAAATACAGTTGGTAGAACACTTGTTCTCTCAAAAGTACTTATTTTCTCAAGACCTTCTCTGGGATGGGTTTCTAACATGCCCATCCTGACCTGGAATCACCATCCAGCTGACAGGTTAACCAAATGGTCTTTAAGGTAAATGTCATATTTATTGTAAGTGAAGAGGTGATACATAGATAACGTGTCTTTTGGTATCATCTTATGTCATTATTTTTTTTGTTTGTCTTTATTTTTTGAGATGGAGTCTTGCTCTGTTGCCAGGCTGGCGTGCAGTGGCATGATCTCGGCTCACTGCAACCTCCACCTCCCTGGTTCAAGCTATTCTCCTGTCTCAGCCTCCTGAGTAGCTGGGACTACAGGCGTGCACCACCACGCCCGGCTAATTTTTGTAATTTAGTAGAGATGGAGTTTCACCATGTTAGCCAGGATGGTCTTGATCTTTTGACCTTGTGATTCGCCCACCTCAACTTCCCAAAGTGCTGGGATTACAGTCGTGAGCCACCATGCCTTGTCTCATCTTCTGGTTTTATGAACTACACGCTATTACTCTTACAACAGGCATTCACTAAATTAGAGTATCAGACTTAAAGGGTCTGTTCCTCTGAAACAGTGAAATCCTGAGGTGGTTGGAGTCATAGATCTGCGTTACTGTCACTGCAGCCTTAGACAAGATGCATAATTAACACATCTCCTCAGATACACAATGACACCCACCTTGGAGAGTTTGTGTCTCTTGAATGACCAAATCCTTGTAGAAGGCTTATTACCATAGTCTGTAGTTACTTGGTAAGCAGCAGCTCTTATTTTGACTTTCTGGTAATGGAGATTCCATGTTTCTTAATCTACCAATGTTCTTTCCTGAACAGCTGAAGGCATTAGGATTTAATTAAGTGAAGCTTGGAGTGCTCGCTTTGTGTAAGATGGAAGATGAGCTGTATCAGTGAGGAATGTTTTCTGCTGCAAATAACAGAAAATCTCTCAGTAGCTTTAAGTAGGGATTTTTTTTTTTAACTGTAATGTATTATCTGGGGGTGGATGACTCCTGGTGTTAGTTAAAACTCTCAGTGATACCTGTGCTGGGATTTCTGTGTTCCTGTTGGACTTTTCTTCCTGAACTCCAATTAAGGCAGAAACAGGAGAAAGGACAGTACCAGCCACACCTTTTTTTTTTTTTTTTTTTGAGACAGCGTTGCTCAGTCGCTCAGGCTGGAGTGCAGTCACGCCATCTAGGCTCACTGCAACCTCCACCTCCCAGATTCAAGTAATTCTCCAACCTCAGCCTCCTGAGTAGCTGGGATCACAGGTAGGCACGCACCACCACACCTGGCTAATTTTTGTGTTTTTAGTAGAGACGGGGTTTCACCATGTTGGCCAGGCCGGTCTCAAACTCCTGACATCTGTTGATCTGCCACCTCTGCGTCTCAAAGTGCTGGGATTACAGACGTGAGCCACCATGCCTGGTCACATCTACTATTTTTATCAGGGAAATACAAGCTTTCACAGAAGGTTCTGTTCATGACTAATGGGCTAAACCAGTGTTACCTGACCATGCTGACCTGCAAGAAGGTCATCGAGTGTGTGACTTTTCCAGCCTCTGCTGTGAATGTGATGTGGAAGGAGGCAGATGGCTGGATCAGTCACCAGCCATTTGTCCTACCACAATTTCAGACTTTTCTCTGAATTATACAGTGGAGTTGTGGCATATGTGTTGAGATTATAAATAAATTTATCTTGAAGGAAAAAAGGCATTTATGCAGTCTTGCATAAAACTATTTATTAAAGTAAGTGACCTCTTCCCACCCTGTCCCAAAGAATAGAATCTGTCAGCAATTTATAAGCCCCTTAAGTTTCCACTTCAGTTCTTGTTCCTCTATCTTGCCTACTCTTCCTTTTTACTGAAAGAATTGACAATCTCCTGAAGAATTCAATTCTAAACTACTGAGCAGGGCTAAGCATGGTTGGCAAGTGTGCGGTGAGGGAGGTGACTCCTTGCCCTTTGGGATGAAAAAGGGGTGTCCTGGAGAGGCAGCCTGCTGAGGGGATTCAGCCTTCTTGCTGGAAGGAAGCCACCTGCTGGGCAGGGTTTTGCTGCACCAGGAATGAGAACCTGACCCAGTGTGGAACTTGGGGTGTGAGAAGATGGGGCCAGGTATAGAGATAGGCAGTAACCACTCCCAGCACTTCACCATACAAAGCAAAAAAAAAAAAAAAAAAGCAAGTATGTTCCTATTTTTACCTACCTTATTTGTTAGAAGGGTGCAAATAAACAGTGATATGTATACAAATAGATGCATACAATCAATCCCTCACCTTCTCAATGCCACTCTAACAAATCATTTTCCTTTGTTTCTTACTTTCATGGATCCCAGCCCTTTTTGTATTTATGCAATAATAAAAATGTAATGTTACATTCTACCATTTTTGTCCTCCTCTGAACATTAGCATTGACTGATTCTTTTTATTTCTGAAACAGGATCTCTCTTCCACCCTTCTACCCTTCCACCCTCCCTCCCATCCCCCTTCCTCCCTCCCCCTTCCTTCCTCCCTCCCTCCTCCTTCCTCCCTTCCTCCCCTCCTTCCCACTTCCTCCCTTCCTTCTCCCTCCCTCCCTCCT